AACCATCGCCATGTTGTCACGTGAATAATTTTGTTATGTCCCTGTCCTTGTCTCCAAGGTCCCCTTGCCCGTAATTAATTTTGCTTCGCGATCGAATAATTTGTGAATCTGCCTATTTCAATTTCGGGAGCTAAGTCAAAAATTAAATTACTTTCTGGGGTAAAGAGCTGAATTAAATTCATCACATCTATCTATATTGCATACCATGTGAATTTACTTTTGTCATAAGTACGTCACTGTAACCGTCTAACGGCTATGATAATCTTATCAGTTTGAATTTATGATGATTTAGGTTTCGCTTTTTTTGTTTTGTAGCGTGAATATGTTTTCGCATTCAAACAAGCTCGTCGGCGCGAAGATGACATCGCCATCGTGAACACAGCCATGAGAGTGTTGCTAGAAAAGCCAACATTTTCTCGCTCGTGGCAAATAAAGGATTGTAGTTTCAGTTTTGGAGGCATGGCTCCTACAACAGTCATGGCCATGAAAACCATCAAGGGACTCACTGGCAGGTAGGATCTCTGTAGTCCCATACAATGTTAAATACGACCAATTAGAAATCTGGAAAATCACTGCATATTCTTTCTATTAGCTTCTAATGGGCCGTATGGAACCATGATCGTCCCCTGCTTGTAAATGTTTTAGAGGCACTTGGCAAAATGAAGAAAAAGATCTTTTCTAAGTCACAGTATGCTGAAACGCCCGAAAGGACTTTTGGGGACACCTATATTTGAACTCATTGGTATACATCTTATATGGCTACCTGCTTCCAGTTGAGACATTTAAAACACATTGCTCAGTTGAATCAGATTTTAGGCTTTTCCCTGTTGAGGTTTTACATTCTATTGCATGTATAAAACAGTATGAATTTAATTTTCCTTCAGTTCAGACCTTGATGAATGGTAAGTTTTGCAGGGAAAAGGAAAATAATAAGAAAAAAAGTAAAACAATACTTACTTCCCTGCCTTTTTAATCAGCTTTACACAGTTAATTAACAAAGATACTCCTAACTTAGAAGAATGTCCTTTAATTTATTAGTCGGTGGACTAGTATTGAGAGGCTACAATGTTACAAAACTACTTAACGACAAAATGTTTTGTAAGTTCATGATTAGTAGTGAATCAATTTTCTTTAAACAATGCTTTGTTTTGGTGTCATTATTCAGTGACTAAGCTGCCCGACTTATCTTCTCTTCTCCCTAGACCGTGGAATGAAAGCATAGTTCAAGAGGCTTGTCAGTTGTTAGCTGAAGACCTGCCGCTCAAACCCGGGTCACCAGGCGGTCAGGTGGAATACAGGAAATCACTTGCTGCAAGCTTCTTCTTCAAGTTCTATTTGAACGTTTCTCAGCGACTCAGGAGTAATGAGGTAGGCAACATTTTCTTGGATCTTTTTGTATTTTGTTTTGTGAATTATATTGACTAGCTATGGCTTCTTAGATATAAACAAGCGCCTATTCTATCGCGTTTCCATGCTTTTATTTAACGCAAAGAAGTACGCCCGTTATATTTCTGCATTTTCTCGACAGGACGTTAAGATTTGGTTGACGTAATCTTCTCGTTTTACAATTACTTTTATAAAATATTTCTCAAGAATACACGCAAATCTAAAACGTCAAAAACCGTGTCTATGTACTCTCATTTTAACACACCTATCGGCCAATGAGAGTGCGCGTATTATCTCAGTTATTTTATAATATGTCAACATATGAATTTCAGTTAGTTGCTGGAGATTTAGTACCAGAAACCTATGAGAGTGGAACCAAACATTTCCACAGAGATGCTACTCGCAGTATACAGACCTTTCAGGTAAAAAATACTTGTGTTCCGGGGTATATCCATAACAAAAGTTCCAAGCAATAATTTAAAAGTACCAAGGTAGTTTTGTCTGTACTAACGCAATATAACGACAGATACTCTTCCTAAGTGCTTTTTTTTTAACATTTCACTCTTTCCGAGCTTCTTCTCCACCAATCATATTATTTTTTTTCACGAAGGAAGTGTTCCTTTCCAACAGGTTTTCTTGGAACTAAGCGATTTTGATGTCTTGGAATACTTTTTGTCCAGGGGATTGTATTTTTGCGTCAAGAGTTGCTGGAAATGTTCATTGGAGAGTTAGAACACGCAGTGATAGCAAAATCAAAACGTTAATACCTTGAACGATCTTGCGATAAAATGATGCAAAAAATAACCTTGGCTGATACACTTCTTTTGTTTGGCACAGGAAGTCCCCGAACATCAATCATCAGAGGATATGGTTGGTAGACCTTTGCCTCACTTAGCGGCAGCGAAACACGCCACAGGAGAGGCAATCTACTGTGGTGACATTCCCAGATATACAGGTAAAGATTATTTGTGGTGCGTTTATTTGCATGGTAAACTCAGTGACTGGTCATAGAATAACGGATGTGACTGACAGACCTCTGGTTATTTTAGCAGCTGGTAAAACGATACACGAGAGGGAATCACCGTCTGACGCTGACTCGTCCAGGTCCCAAGCGTCTCTAAGGAGTGCATTGTTATACTCAGAAGATGATGTTTATTTGCGTAAGAGGAGGCTGGGACGAGTCCCTTCCTGTGACGAGAATCAATGTGACATTTAAGAAATAGAAAAGATGTTCTCCGTATTTCTATCGAGTTATAAAGAGACGAGTGGAAGTTTGAGAGAACGAGAAATGCTGTGGGAACACGAGCCGCAGGCGGGTGTTTCCACAGCTTTTTCGAGTTCTCTCAAAGTTTCACGAGTGTTTCTATAACTCGATAGAAACACGGAGAACTTGTTTTCTATTTCTTTTAGAAAACACCGCGACGAGAAAAAGGAAAACAACTTGTAAACTTTTATTATCAAAACGTAAATTCTCTTTGCTCTCGCCATCATTACGTCAACAGCTCGTGCTAGTTCTGCGTTTCTATCAAAGTTATAGAAACACGATTTTTAACCAACCCGCGCGCGTAATTTCCTAGGACTTTTTTCTAAAATGTTATAGTTGTCACAGTGCACCAGATCTTTGGTGGAACCCACCTTACCGTCCTCCCCACCTCCACACTGTAAGCGTGAAAGCACATCTGTCTAAGATAGTGTATTATAGTAATCTGCTCTGCTCTAATCTGATCTGTTTTTCGATTTCAGGAGAACTTTACCTGGGAATTGTTTTTAGCACACACGCCCATGCTAACCTCATGTAAGTCTATTTTTGATATATAAGGGACCACCAGAGAAGTTACGCCAAATCAGCTTAATGTGTGTGGCGATGTTTCGGCACTTTTTCCTGAACAAGATATCATTCATAGTCAAACAACCCAGTTTATTGCATGGTTAGCTCCATGAGCGGGCAAGACCAATCAAATCTTGCTCTGTGATTGGCTACCTAAGCGGGCAACATGATGCTTTCTTGTCCGTTTGGGATTACACGCTGTGTTCCCCAGGAAAAATTCCCGGAAGCCCCCTAAGTATCCCAAGTATCACATAATAAGTCCTTTATTGATCAAGCTTGTTCGGTTAAGTTCTTGTTTTGCATGTTTATCGACTCCGTCTCGATCCATAAACACACTAAAAGAAAAAAAACTTGGCCAATATCCATGTATCTTGATCTAACGCTTGGTTATTGTTCATTTTTTCCGTGGTTTACATATTGACTCGATATTAAGTGTGTTCGTATATACTGAGATGATGCGAAACGATCTTTGTAGGTTTCCCAGTATCAAACAAAATAAAGTAGGGGAAAAATAATTAAACGAACACCTTATTTGCCGGCGTAGGTCAATCCGTATACCGTAAAACTGCGCCCAAGGTCATTGATGACTGCCCTCGGACTAAGCTCTCGGGCTTTGCTTAAGACCTCGGGTGCAGTTTGTCCCCTATACAGACCTCCAATAACATGATACGCGTTTCATTATAAAATGTCCTTTTGTACGATATAATTCCACAGAGCTGTGGATCCCAGCGAGGCGTTACTTCTCCCTGGTGTAAAGGCATACATTGGCGCAGATGATGTCCCTGGAGACAATATAACGGGATTTGGTAACGATGAGGAGGTTTATGCAACAGACAAGGTGCATCTCCTACCATGTCAGAAGTAAAAATAAATTATCAATTTACACATATAATTTGCTATATCATTTTACACTTCATAGATGAGTGTCCCACAGAAATATTTTAATTCCGTCAGGTTTCAACCATTCAGATGCATTCTGTAGAATTTATGACTGTGATCTTATTCGTTACGTTGTGTTTCGGAGACGTGAGGGATGTTTGCTTCGGTTTACTGCAAGATGTCAGGATACTTTAATAGGCTCCTTGCACGACCCAGTCACATTGTGCAGAATCAGCTGTGCTTGGACGTAAAGTAGCACAGTAGGAATTCCAAAACAAAGCAACTCGCATCAGTCCAGCTCCACTTTTCTTTGTTGTTAAAGTCCCTGCGTAACGTGCGTCCCAACATGGTTTATTTTGTACCATGTGACTGGGTCATGCAAAGGGCCTATTTAACAATAGCCCCCAGTTTTCTTAATGTGCTTTTCAAGTACTCTCGCCTGAGCCAGCGGTAGATAAGGGCGAAGACACAATGAACACTTAAGCCAAACTTTTATGTTCAAGCGTTAAGTTTTGATTCAACCAAATTATTACAATGAATAGAACTAAATGTTTGAAAAGAGAGCTGCACCAAATTTTTAACGCCAACAGATCTACTTTGCCTTTGACAACCTGATCGAGATTTTCACATGTGCACACGCACAGATTAAAAACACTTTCAGGTTAATGAACACAATAGCCTCCCCTCGGCTACAAAATTATGCCCAACAGTTTGATCTTGGGTGTTTCCTGTTGTTCGAATTTCAAGCTCAAACTTCTTGAAACAGTTTGTGTCTGCAGATAGATCGGATCCTTGCATCTTTGCAGACGGCATCAAGGAGGTTAGCGTCCAAAGAATAGCGAAGCGCGCGAGTGACGTCATAACTCAGACAAACTCAGACAAACAAAACGGAATGGTGGAAGATTTGACGCTTTTTCAAGGGCGTAAGCAAGTGTTCCTAAAACAATTTTTAAAACAAAAATTGACGTTTATTTTCCGTTTATTTCTCGCAGGATACGCTTATGTTGTCTGACTCTCGCGGGGTTCCAATAATTTGCATTCTATTTTTAGACTTCGCGCGCGTCGTTATTGAGGAGTTCAAGTTCCTTTCATTTTTCTCTATGTGTACTTTAGGTAACATGCGTGGGGCAAATAATTGGAGCTATTGCTGCAGAAACCCAGGCTCAAGCCCAAAGAGCAGCAAGGATGGTCAAGATAACATACGAGGACTTGCCTGTAATATTAACCATTGAGGTGAAGTGCTAATTGACCTAATTCAAATTTATATTTGTGTTATGTATTTCTGCATGTTGCAGCTCCACAAGTAAACTACCCATGCATTCTACCCCGTGTTTTCTGTAGATAGATGATAGAGGGTAATTTTATAACACAAATTTCTTGTCACAACGAGAGGTTTAATAAAGTCGAAAAGAATCGCGAAACACTAGCGTCACAATCTCCAATAGTGTCATAACTCATTTCTTTGCTCGCCATCTTAATGATTTTATAATTTATTAATGCTAAAAGTAATTTCTTTCTGAGCGTATTTTGTGGTCTTTCTCAAAATACTAAATTAAAGTAATAGAATTAGAAAAATAAGGGTGTTTAAAACCGATGTTGAAGTGGTGAACATCCTCAGAAACCAAAGGGCAGATAACCGGGTCAGGGAGGAAATCAAAACTGAGGGCAAAAGCCGCGGGAACGAAATTTTTTCAAAAACGAACGAGAGCCTTTTTACCAAGCAGTTCCAGTCCACGACCCAGTCGATGCCTTGTCTCTGATTGGGTTTGCGGCCAATCGGAGCCCAGTATTTATGGCGGTACTTTCGTAATCTTCTTAAACTGACGTAATTTTCTTATTCGTAATATAATCTTCCTCTTTGAGCTGGGCGCCGATTGGCCACATAAGTATTTGTGAGGCCAATCCGAGACAAGGCTTCGACTGGATCATGGATGGAACTGTTCGGCAAAGGGTAGCCTCCCATGGGTGCTCTTGTTCGTTCTTGTGAACATGAACCTTCGTTCGCAGTGCTCCTGGATGAGTACTTCCGTTAAGTGTCCCTTGGTTTCATATTTCACACATTTTTACTTCAGTCAATTTGGTTGATCAGAAAGGAGACGAATTTGAAACGTTTGAACTTTAACTATTTAAACAATGTCATATTGATTAACAGGAAGCCATAGCAGCCGAATCCTTCTACGACATTGACATGTGCATTCAGAAAGGAGACCTGGAAACTGGTTTTGCTGAATCTGATCACGTGCTAGAAGGAGAGATAAGAACTGGGGGACAGGTGACTAAATTCTCCTTTAAAGAATGCAACAATGTAGAATAACAAAATTATCTTTTGATCGAGAATCGGTTGTCAGGAAATGTCAGTGCCAGATATAGCGTATTTCTAGTCGGTAATGTATGAGTAATCTATCAAATGAGTACTGGAGGAATTTATCAACGTCTTTATGATCTTGTCAGTGCATAGTACTTTGAAGCACTTTCACCGTTTTATGTGTTACAGGAACACTTCTATTTAGAGACACAAGTCACCATTGCTGTCCCTAAAGGAGAAGATGGCGAGATGGAACTTTTTGTCTCCACTCAAAATCCAACATTCACACAGGTAGGACGAGGATTTAGAAGGATTTTGGATTTAGAGGATTTAGAAAGCTAAGAACACTTTGCCGTAACCTTCGTTGAAGCAAGGAAAACTTCCNCAGGTAGGACGAGGATTTAGAAGGATTTTGGATTTAGAGGATTTAGAAAGCTAAGAACACTTTGCCGTAAACTTCGTTGAAGCAAGGAAAACTTCCCCTACTCTAATATTCGTTCAACACTGTCGCGTAGGCTTTGATGTTGCTGTAGCAAAACCTTTCTTAAAACCATTCTATATCGGAAGCATTTTGCTTCTTGTCTAGGTTGCATTGAAGAGTTTGTACTTACGTGCAGTTCTTTTGTATATCCACAGGAACAGGTCGCAAAAGTCCTTGGAGTTGCTCACAATAGAGTTGTAGTGCGAACAAAACGCATGGGTGAGTTTTTTCAACTGAATTAATCATCAAACCGCCTGAGCAAATTACTGAAGTATCCTGGATCATGTCGTAATCCTTACGGTTTGGATACCTGGTCTTAATTAGCATAGATTTTGACGATTTCACTTCTTTGTTTTCTCCCTTTGTTTTTGTTTCGAATGAAAAGGTATATTAAACACTCGAGACAGCGTTTCATCGGATATCCAAACACCTCGAATTTCGTCAAAAGTATTCCGCTGCGCGTCGTGTTTTCAACTCTCTTCTCGGTGTTTTGATATCCTTGTTTCTAGTTAAACAATAG